ACTAAAATAATTATGGACCAGTGAGTGGAATTTAAAAACCTTTTGGAACTGTTGCTCATTGCATCAAGATTTGTTTTAAATAGTATCCCAGAATCTAAAACATATCTATAAAATTGGAAGATAATGTTATGCTATAAAGAAAAAGCCCTGGTTGCCCAGTGGTTAAGAGCTCAGTTGCTAACCGAAAGGTTGGCATAGTTCAAATCCACCAGCTGCTCTCTGTCCTATAGGGTCTTTAAGAGTCAGAATCGACTAGATGGCAATGGGGTATTAAGAAAAAAATAGACAGTTTTGTTAATAATTGATTGAAAAGCCATTCTTTGTCATCGTTGGATCTCTTAATAAAAACAATCTGAATAAAGATTTATTCTCTTTTGGCACTCTCCTAAAGTTTACACACAGATAATAGTCCTCTATTAATCATCATAATGAGTCTCTAAAAAAAAATATCTAGAGTTGCATATTTGGGTACATAAAGTCACAATATACCTTTAAATCGGGAATTTTTCATTCAATGTTATAGGAAGAGCCAATCACAATATCTATGAATGAGAAATGCATCTGCTAAAAATAAAGCAGTGAGCTTGATCTTTAATAGTATAATATTAATTAGAACAGAAATTAAATAATTCAGATGCTTGATTCATCTCTTTTTTTATCCTTTAGAAAAACAAAACTAATTTTTCACTTGCACAAGGTACTCTTGGCACCATAACAAATAGTTAAATGTCCCTTGTGAGTACCACTGATGAAATATTAGTTGATTTTTTATAAGTTCAGATCATGAATGACACATTACTCATTTTCAGAACCAAATCCATTAATTTTAAATTGAACTGAATTCTACTTGTGGGCTTCAAGTAATCCGTATAAAATAAAAAGTGGTGTTCTTCAAAATTAAAGGATACCATTTCTAATTACAGTGGTTTCCAAACTTCTAAAAACAAATCTCAGAATCTTGTCTTTCCTCATACCCTCATGCAAAAGCTAAGTTTATCAAGTTGATACAATCTAAGGGGTGTGATTGAGGTATAAGAGAACCATTCAACCATACCACCTGTTTTAATGTTTCAAAATAAATTTGAGATCAAAACAAAAACCAAACTAGTTGCTGTTGAGGCAGTCCTGACTCATGGTGACCCCATGTGTGTCAGAGTAAAAATGTGCTCCATAGGGTTTTTAACAGCTGATGTATCAGAAGTACATCACCAAGATCTTTCTTCCGAGGCACCTAAACCTTTCGGTTAGCAGCTCAACACATTAACTGTTTGTACCACCTGGGGACTCCAGCTTTGAGACACAACTCCCAAGTCCCTAAGAGTCCTGGGAGCTCAGTTTAAAACAAATGGCTTAAGGGATAGGTAGGCAAGCATATGAAAGATACCTAACTGAATAATTAAATTACTAATAAGGTCACTGCTTGTAGTACTCGAAGATGCCTTCTGCATGGTTGTTTTCCTTTGAAAGTAAATTCAAGTTTATTAAGAAAATATTTGACTATTTGTTGAAAAAGAAACAAAATAGTCCCCCGTACCATTAATTAGAAAACCTTGAGCAAATGATAACTGAGATATATCAGAAGAAAATATAAGCTTTGACAAACAGCTCTCATCCTTAAGCATCTCAACTATATAGGTGTTGAGACACTTGGTATAATAATGACATTATAAAATTAATGCTTCTTACTTTTATTTATTTATTTATTTATTTACCAATTTATCTCAGTGTTTACTGATGGCTAGTTTAAAAAAAAATCCATTGACAGTAGAATACTTTTATCCAAAAATGTCAATGCATTTATAACAATGGCCTTATTTACATTTTATAGATATCTAGTAAATAATGAATTCGGGAAACACTGAGTAATGTCAAAAAAAAATCCTTATCACTCCCCCCAAAATCCATGAAAACCCCCCACAACAAAATATTTTAAAAAATTAGTCATTAAAACTCTAATATTATCATGTATATGCAACTTAAATTTAATTTTACTTTGCTGCTTCAGTGAGTTCCACAAAAACATGCTGTGCTTGGCTAACTCCTGGACACACAGTCACATCTATTTAATGTGAAGGAGTTTGCTAGTGTCACTTTCCAAAGTGGGTTGAGGGAAAAGCTTTCAGGAAGACAAGTCACAGCTAAATGCATCCTTGAAGATTAATTACCAGTCAGATCTTTTCAGCTTTCAAATATACAACTGCATTAAGTATAAATTAACTATCTCAGGGCTGCATAGTGGACACTGGGTACAGGATTTTCACCTTTATGTCTTTGGTTTGAATCTAAGCTTAAGACTGACTGAAAGTCATTATTCTTTGTCAACTCTTCAGTAACTTATGAAATGAGTTATTGGTCTTAGTTAAGTTCCTAGCGTAGCCAAAAAACACCTTCACAAGTGATGACCATCAGGAGCTGCTGAAACCTGTGTAAGAGGGTCAAAGATTGAACTGGTTATGCAAACTGAATAAGTTTCTCCCTGGTCCACCTTCTAAAAATACATTGAGGCTTAGAGTTTTCCCCTTCTCTAGAAGAGAATGATTTAAGTCTTTAGGGTTGCCAGCTGGACATCTTTCATTAACATAACGATGAAGACAATTTATGGCTTTTTCTTCTATCTAGGGCAACACAAATATCCCTAATTTTTGTCGTCACATAAAGACATTTCTGGGGCTCAGTCTTCTGTAGGAATTTTTTTTTTTTTTTTAAGTCTCACAGTATAGACAAAACACCAAGATTCCGTATCTTTTATCACTGTTGTTTCTATGGGGTCAAAAACATGTTGGTATAAGAGTGCTATTTCTATCTGTCTAGAAATAACATAGCTTAGTAGAAAGTATCCTTTTTATATGAGGGTTTTTTTTTATTTTTTTCATACAAAAATTTATACATACATTGTTATGTGACTCTAACTGCTCTCCCCATACTGTGACGGCACACTCTTTCCACCCCAGATTCCCCGTGTCCATTCAACCAGCTCCTAACCCTCTCTGCTTTCCCATCTCACCTCTGGACGGGAACCACCCATTTAGTCTCTTGTATCTACTTGAATGCTCCTTACTTTTAAAAAAATATATTTTTTATACCATAAGTTAAAAATTCTGAACACGTCAACAAGTCTCTAAAATTGTAGGATTCAAAAGTCAATGATGCATATATCTACACTTTTGTATACATAGTGCTGATACACTTCTGCAGTGCTTTCTTCCTTAGTTTCTTTAGTTTTGGTCCAACCAAAATGAAATTTTAGAAGTAAAACTGTTCTCCTAGTCTCAGAAATAAATGTGGCTTGAAAAATATTTACTTCTTTAAAATTTCAAAACTAGTATCTAAAAAATACTACAATAGGTATACCTACTTATTCATCTAGCACAATTCCTAGATTCAGTAAGATACTTGAGCCTATGTCTTTCAGACTGTCACTATAAAACAATTTTGTCACTTTTTCAGTTCTTCGATTAGACAATGCACTGGAACCTTATGATGTGAGTTTTGGGAATTCTAGTTACTACAACCCTACTGTGACTGATTCATCTATGCCAGAAGGCCGAGAACATGCACGCGATAATATTCCTATGGATGACATACCTCCACTTCGTACCTCAGTATAAAACTAAGGGAAAAAAAGCTTCAGACAACAAGGGTTCACCTACATCCTGCCCTTCTTACAAATCCATCTTCCAAAAGGTGATGCAAGATCACTGTCATGTGGATCATGCCAAAGAGAACAAACAAAGCATGAGACTAGTACTAGGAGCACACAGAGAGAGTGAATCATCCATAGGTTTCTTTTCTTACAATTTTTAGCTATGCTAAAAATTAACTACATTTAATTTGGATTTTGGTCTATATTTTCTTAGTAGGAAATGTTTACGGAATCAGGTAAAACTAGAAGATTCTACCATGCTAGCCCTGTCACAAAAATCCTTCCATGACAATAAACCCATTGTCATCGAGTCGATTCTGACTCATAGCAACCCTACAGGACAGAATAGAACTGCCCTATAGAGTTTCCAAGGACAGGCTGGTGAAAGGGAACTTTTTAAAAAAAAAAAAAACCAGAAACCAAGAGTTGACTCTTCCCTGCTCCCCCTACAGCCCTACTGCAATACTTCAAGACTGGCATCGTTTGAGGAAACACTGGGAGGATGATTCTTTTATTTTCGGCTTAAAGTGCTTAGACGATATAGAACAGAGTTCTCGTTACTGGTAAATTAGGTAACAGGAATGGAGAGACCTGTGTTCCAGTACATTTTACTTTTCTACATCAGCACATACATGGTCATTCCCTTGGAGTTACCAGGTTGACAATGACTTGTATTTAAGTGGGCCGTGGTAGGGAAGCTACTAACTGGAAAAGGGATAGCTTCTCTAAAGACTTTGATGGGTGAGAAATTCTAACCTGGCTGTATATACTTTTGTTTCAACTGGACACCTTAAAAAATCAATGAAAAAACATGGTGAAAAAGTCAGCCAAAGTATACACCTGCACATAACTTACACACTTGTAAGATGTTCGATAGCATCAGGATTTATTATATTTTAGATATTATTGTTAAATCACATATGGCGTAAATTCTGAATATCTAAAAGTATGAAGTCTATAGAAAAGAAGTAATAAAGAGAAAAAGAATGAAAACATAAGCAAAAAAACAAAAATGGAATGAAATTTTCTCGACATTGCCTTCACCAGAAATAATACAAGAAGATTAATTTGGATTCTAGTATGCTTCTATTTGTCTTTAATTACTATTTGCTTTTGGCAGGAAGAACATGCTCCTTAGTATAGAAAGGTTTGGCTTTAGAAACTAGAGGGTTCAATCACAGAAGCAATAAATAGGTGAAAATGACAAAGTAAGTACCAAGCTAGAGAATTTACTGTTGAATTGATATATGATGTGTGTGTGTGTGTGTGTGTGTATCTGTGTGAGAGAGAGAATGAAAAACAGCAATAGCCTCAGAAAATGAGAACTAGAAAGTAAGTAATGAAAGGGTATACTTACCCCATATTGCCATAAAAATAGCAAAGAAGACTGTCCCTCCATTATCGAACAAATATGTCACCTTAATGGAAAACAAAAAGGTTAGTCTGAACTGTATTATAATTATCTAGTGGTTACTGTTTGCATTTAGGCACTTTGATTTTTTTCCCAATGGAAATACATTATTAATAATTTGTAAATATAAGGTATGAGATCCTTTAATGAGTTCTGCAATCATTTGTGTTATTTTCTCATGGGGAGAGGCAAGGGAACAGCATTCTTTCTCTTTTCTTCTCCCTTCCTTCTGGTTTCCGTTGTATCTCACCTCTATTCAGGCTTAGAAGTGGTTCCAGAACTTCCTGGAAGTATTTCTGGGCCACAGATAGTCAAATTATAATGTGAAGTTGTTTGACGTTAGCTTTGCAGGTGAGGCATATCTAGTTTCACTTTCTGTAAACAAGATTTCCAGAAGTAGGGATGTTTCAAAATGCAGAATTTTGCCAGTCAGCCACCACTTCCAATGAAATGGTATCAAAATACTATCCCTACTTTCACTCATCTTTCAGAATGTGCCATGGGTCTAATATTGCCTACAAAAGTAATGGTCCCCACAGCTACTGCAGCCTCCACCAGACTAAGTCCAGTACAGCTAGATGGTGCCCGGCTACCACCACTGACTGCTCTGACCAGGACCACAACAGAGGGTCCTGGACAGAGCTGGAGAAGGATGTAGAACAAAATTCTAACTCACAAAAAAAAGACCAGATTTATGCCTAATAGACTGGAGAAACCCCAAGAGTATGGCCCCTGGACACCCTTTTAGCTCAGTGGTGAAGTCACTCCTGAGGTTCACCGTTCAGCTCGGAATTGGACAGCATCATAAAACAAAACGCAATTAATGAGGCACAGCAGTCCATGGACAAGGACTAGTAGGCAGGAGGGGACAAGAAAGCTGGTGATAGGGAACCCAAGGTTGAGAAGGGACAGTGTTGACATGTCGTGGGGTTGTTAACCACTGTCATAGGGCAATATGTGTACTAACTGCTTAACAAGAAACTGTTTGTTCTGTAAACTTTCCTCTAAGGTACAAAAAAAAGGAATTATCTATGTGAGATCAAATTGACAACAGTAACTCAAAAGGTTTGGTGGGAAGCGTAGGGGGCACTAAGTTGAAGATAATGGTGATGGAATAATCTGGAAAAGGATAGTGAGAACAGCAGCACAACTGGAAGAATATAATCGATGTCACTGAACTGTACATGTAGAAACTTTTCAAATGGTGTAACTTTGGCTATGTATATTTTCACCAGAAAAAAAGTCCTCCAAGGTCGAGAAGGGAGAGTGTTGACATGTCGTGGGGGTTGTTAACCAATGTCATAAAACAATATGTGTACTGACTGTTTAATGAGAAACTATGTGTTCTGTAAACCTTCATCTAAAGTACAATAAAGAACAAAAGAAAAAAAAGTAATGCTCCCATCTTAAGTTGTTTTAGGTTTCATAAATCCCTGAACATTTGAGGTGTAGTCCACCTGCTTTTGAATTAGATATTACCTGAAATTTGAAAAAGACCAACATAAAGTTATATAATGTTAATGAATAAAATGTTCAGGGTTGGAAGGATTATTTTATATTAATAAAGTGTCAGTTCAATTCACCTTTGTTTCTTTTCATTATCATAATGCCCTCAGTATATTTATAAGTTAGTGATCAAGAGTAAAACAATACAGCCAAGGCAGTAGATATTTGACAGCCATATAAATACCATAGAAACTGTAAGGAAAATAGAGGTTCTGTTTTTATGGGAGGGAGAGGCTAATTATGGGCTAAAGAACACCATAAGGGAAAGTGGGGACAGAATAGTGTCTTCTTTGCTCTGTCTAAAATCTAGAGGTTTCTCAGTGGGGGAATTAAAATGATACTTATCTATATTTTAATTGTAACATCTGAGACACACTGCAGAACAGTATGTAAAACAGATAACCATGGGATATATTTTTCTGTAAGGTAGCATTATTAAAAATATCAGTATAAAAAAGATGTGCTCATTTTAGGAGCTTGTGGATAGATGCAAGACGTCCTGCATGGCTTTCAAATTCAATGACTTTAAGGATTGGGATTTCTAAAAATGTTGTAAGAATTGGTTTTCAGAATAATCATCAGTATACATTATGTACAGGAAGGAAAGGATCATAAGTAAATTCTCCTACAGAGCTCATAAAATTATACCAAGCAGGAATTCAGACTTTTTGTTCCCAAAGGCATCCCACAGAGACACCTGAGGCTGCCAAGCAACTGAACAGCTGTCTGTTCTCCATTATAAACAGACTGAATGCAGGGAAGAGCCTCTTACTGTGTTAAAACAGAGACTTTACACACAGGGACTTAAAGGTCACTAAGAAATAACGGCTCTCCCGATTCAGAAACAGCCATGCTTTAAAAAAGTGGCAAAAAAAAAATCCACACTTAAAAACAACTGAGTTGTATAGACATGACTTGCCATAGTTTCTTTTTAAAAGTTTTTTTTTTTTTCCCTTACTTGATGTCTTAACAACTCTTTCAGGTAATTTTGCTTTATTCAATAAAATTGAAACATTATCTTTTTGGGAACACATCCATAGCATATGGAGCCCTGGTGGTGTGGTGGTTAAGAGCTCGGCTGCTAAAACCAAATGGTTGACAGTTTGAATCCACCAGCCACTCCTTGGAAACCCTATGGGGCACTTCTATTCTGTCCTATAGGATATAGTAAGGTAAACATGTAACATTCATGTAACAGGGATTACATGAATGAAATGAGAGATGAAGACAGATGAGAATTAAAGACTCCAGAAGATTTCCTGAGGAGTAGTTTAACAGTATAAGAGCATTGTTTTAGATTTACTAGTCATTCCATGGGGAAAATATATGATAAGGGAGATGATGGGGACAGTGAGAGTAATTAGCAGTTTGTGGTTCCAGAGTCCTTGGGGGGTATGAACATGAACGTTCCAGAGTCCTTGGGTGGTATAAACATGAACGTTCAGCTGTTAACAGTAAGGTTGGAGGTTCCAGTCTGCCCAGGGGCACCTTGGAAGAAAGTCCTGGTGATCTACTTCCAAGAAATCAGCCACTGAAAACCTTATGGAGCAAAGTTCTATTCTGACACACATGAGGTCTCCATGAGTCAGAACTGACTTGACAGCAACTTTTTTTTCTTTTACTGTTAGTTATAGCTTGAGGTGCTAAGGACTTCATTTAGGGTTCTGGTCATAGGAATACTAGGGTGCTGATATGAAAGCACTCTAGAAATGGGACAGAGAGAAAAGGAGGAGTTAAACATACCTCTTATCACTCAAAATTAGATTATGGGTGACTGGCAAGGGTATATATAAGGTCTTCTGTCTTCTGTCAAAAACACTTGCTATGTTGAAGAAAACTCAAGCTGAAACATCCAGAAAATTTGCCAAGCAACATACCAGACCTTTCTAAAAGCAAAAAGAATCTTGTCCTATCTAAAAGGTGTATATTTGCAATGAGTTGGTATATTAGAAAAAACAGCTTGCCTTTATGAATAGCAGGACATATGGACAAGCATTTTATTCCTCATTGTTGATGTGAGTTAGGATAATATATGAAGATGGGGGGAAACTGGGCCTCAAATAAAGCTGTGTTCAAGCACAAATTCTCCATTATCTTTGATGCCTGATTTCTCTTGGAACATTCTCTCGGAGAGCTACAAATCAGTAAACGTGGATATTGGTTTTCTTATTATAATAATAATTTCTTTTTAAGTTGGAAACTTCAAGTCTATGTCTCCTCCACTATAGCTGCTTGATCTTTCTCAAAAATTGTTTGACAGGTTCAGAAAAATATAAGATTCTGGAAACTGCTAGTTATATTCTATAAAGCCCCTCTTGGCTTAAAGAGAATAAAGGGCCTCAAGCTGACTCAACCGTATAGGTTACGGTATTACCCTGGGGGTCGGGGGAGAGTTTAATGCTTAACTCTCGGACAGGGCAAAAACCCTTATTAGTTGCACCTGGGTACCAGCTACTTCAAACATGGGAACTTGATTATCCACCGTACCCACCCCCTCCAAACTCATTACTTATTTAGGGCAGTATCTTTTAAAAACGTGGTCCCAGGAAGCCCTGTTATCAGAATCACCAGTGGAGCTTATTAACATTCAGATTCCTAGGCCTCATCTTTGACCTACTGAATTAGAATTTCTGGATGCAGAGCACAGGAATCTGCTTTTTAAACAAATGCTTTGGTAGCTTCAATACATAGTCTCACACTGACTTTTCCATAAAGGTTCTCAAAAAAGAAATGCTCCCTCAATTTCTGTTGGAGCCTCAACAGCAGTCTCGAGTCTGAGGCTCACACTAGATATTGAATAATACATTGCTGAACAAGTAAACAAAACAAAACAAATAACTGTTAGGAATAAGACTAACTTAACTATTCAGAAACTGGGTCATTCTTAGAATTATACATTAAAAAAAAAAAAAAACTCAGGATTTTTCTATTTCGTGATTTCACCTTAAATGAGAAATTCTAGCATAACAGGAGTAGATAGTGTGGTCTCAGTGCTTTTCAATGAGTGTGCAAATAGTACTCAATTACTTACCTGCAGGAAAAAAAATAAATCTTCATACTTTTAAGAATGAAAATTTAAAAGTCTTCCAAGGAAATATGAATTTACTTAAATATAATTTTTATCATGTGATGGGACCAATTTTTTTTCCCATGAAAACATATATCTGAAATACTCATTTTGTAACCACAGAAGACTGACTTTCATTTTTCAATAGTATTAAAGGTTTTGAAACCCCTGGCGACATTTACTTTTGGTAAAAAGGTTCTTGTTGGAGGACTGCATACTGTGCACTTCTTAGAAAAAGGAGAGGTCAATGAGGAGAATGTGAAGGTCCACACTCACCTTGGCATAGATACAGCTGTCATTGAGTCTCTGCAGGGAGCAGTTCTTGTCACAGAGAGGGCACATGAAGACTTCAGCAGCCGCACAAATTTCTTGGCTTGAAAATTTAAAGAAGAAAAAGCATGAACCTCAGTGTCTAAGAAGGTGCTCAGCCTCTATAGTCAGCCCTGCGGGAAGCAGCAAGGCAGAGAGGAGAAGGGGAAGAAATGGAAATAGTGGGAGCAGTGGGCAGGTGATGCAGAATTCTAGACTGTGACTCCAACTCGAATATTTTAGGATATTTATGATACAGAGGTTTTTGGTTGCTTCTTTGATTTTAGAAGCAAAGATATTATAATGATAATAGGCATAGTTCAACACTTGTGGGAATTTTTTTTACAAAGACGTGGACACATGATTTCACGGTACACAGCATAACCGTGTGAGGGAGGCCCGACAGAATTTTAACCAGGCTCACAGGCTTGTAAGTGGCTGAGCTGGAATCAAACCTGACTATTTTGATGCTTAAGTCTAGTGGTGCCCCCCACCCCGATACTGCTGCCTTAGAATCACCAAAATGAACAGCATCCATAACTCATACAACTTCATAACTCACACTGCAGTCAAGCAGTGCATAATGGTCATTGAAAACTGAGGGAGTTGGTATTTTTTGCAGTGCCTGATGCACACTGTTATGATGACCTGACAGAGTTTGTATTTACTTACGTATATTAGATTCTCTATTAGAATGTAACTTTATGATATATGTTTCTTCAGTTTTATGCTCACTGCCTCTAAAGTCTCAGCATAAATTATAGATGACCTCATGACAGGAGTAGGGCATCAATGACAATTTCTCAAAAGGCTCAGAGCCTGAGAGTTCACAGCAACCTATTTTTAAGATGTTCTGTTTTTCTGTCATACACAGCCCTTTGCCACTTAATAGCTCCCGAGTAAATTTTCTTAAATATATCTTCTTTGTGCTGAAAGGAATTTAAAGACTTTTGGAAAAACATGTCTGGAAATGTAACTGTTAAAACAAGTTTGACTGGCAAAATTTGCTGTTTTTAAACATTTTTGTTTGCTAGGTACAATCAAATGAAGCAAAAAAAAAAAAAAAGCTTGTGTATTTCACATGCTAGATTTATATAACCTAAAGCCAAAGTGGGAAAAAATAGTAAATAGTAATAATACATAGTTTAGTCCTCATGCAACCTCGGCTAATGGTAATTATCCCTACTGAGGAGAAAAGCAATGTTTAAGTGACTTTCCCAATCATGGAGCTAGCAAGAGGTACTTCACGTAGCTGAACATGTGTTTTTCTGATTCTAGGTCCAATTCTCTGTCAACTATACCATATCTAAAAGACAGCTAAAGTTTATTTCATGTTTAAAGAGAATTCTTGAATCAAAAAATAACAGTAATGATTCTAATTCTAACATAATGAGTTTTATATATACTAGACTTCTACTTGCACACACATTGTCTTGATAGTAATCAGGATTTCTATATGAAATAGGAGGAAGCAGGTAAAACACTCATTTTAAAAGCCCAAGAGAGAAACAATACTGTATAAGTCCTCTTAGTAATGTTACTTGAAGGAGTAAGAACTAATATACTTCTTAAAGAAAATTTTGATTACAATGAGATGGTTATAACAATCCATTGTTTCATGAAACAATTCTTCCTGCATTGAAATCTCATACTAAAAAGGTACTGAAGTTGGTTTGTACTACATTATCCTTCCCACCTTCCAAATGGTCAAACAAAAGCCCAGATTTGTCAAAGCTACATGTCTAGAATTTCAGCCATAAGACTGGGTCCTGTGTTTCCTGTCAGAATCATTAAACCCCTGTTTTGTCAGCAGCTAAAAGTTTACTTCATATAGAACATAACAATTACTAAATAATTTTTGAAAATGTATTTTAGCGTAAAATAAGGGACTTCATACCATCACGAACTTCTTTGACTTAACCACTAGAGGGTAGGAGAGAGTACTCATTTTGAGTGTTTCTTGATTTCCTTTGCAGAACCTGACAACCTAAACCTCCATTAGAATTGAAGTGGTCCTTTCTTTCATATGTATTCCTAGATGTGCATATCAATGGTTGACCTAAAGAAATAATAATTATCACAAACTTGTTGATTTGGAGGTGGATGTCTGGACCTATTCCAGGGTGCTGATGTCTTCTATGATCCTGTTTCACATGATGAGGCACAAATGGGAAATATCTGTCTGGTGATGCTCATCTTTGGGGAAAAATGTGGGAGTGGGTTTGAGCAGGAGCATTATGCCAGTACGGATAACGCATACGTTTTAAAATCAGACAGACACAGATTTGAAACTTAGCTCTATCACTTACTAGATATATGCCCCTGACCGAGTCACTTTCTCTCTGAGCATCAATTTCTTCATCACTAAACCAAAAAACCAAACTTGTTGCCCACTGAGTCGATTCTGACTCATAGCAACCTTATAAGACAGAGTAGAAATGTCCCATAGGGTTTCCAAGGCTGTAATCTTTACAGAAGCAGACTGCCACATCTTTCTTCCATGGAGCTGTTGGTTCGAACTACCTTTTGGTTAGCATCCGAGCGCTTAACCACTGCTCCACTAGGGCTCCTTTCTTCATCACTTGATAAGGATAATGTCTGAGACATTACATCAGGGTATTGATAAGATGCTTGACACTTCAAAGGCACCCGATAAATAGTGGAAATCTTCGTTACTGAGGACAGTGTCAGGAGAGGATTCCAGAGGTCCTTTAAGAATCAACAGCTTTTGCAAGGTTGGTCAGAACTGCAGGCCACATAAATTGCTGTATGAGTTCTGATGCCGAAAAGGTAAGAATTGACCAGAAAGATTGAGTTTCTCCTCTTTTTCCTGCATCTGAACCTAGGCCCTGAGAAATAGGCCACATATACCTGCCTGTTCCTCTTCAAATTCCTATGATACATTCTCTCCCAGGTACGGATCTATGTTTGTCTACGTCAGACCATTGCACATATGTAATATATACATGTTGGAGTACAAATAGTAATCTAAAACTTGATTGTTACATACTCCTACAATTAACTACAGGGCAATTAAGAAACGTGACATATATTTAGATGGACATAGCTGTTAGAAACATAATAAATAAAATCCACATCTACTGTTTCTTACCATTTGTGACACTGAAATAGAAGAGAGCTTAGTGAAATAATACTAACAAAAATCACCACAAAATAAAAGCCCCATTTCCTCGCTCTAACCAGCCATGGCAACACTTACAACTCAACCACGTCTGACACCTTAAATGGAAAATTTCAGTCCCATGAAATTTTGAAAGTCAAGATATTCAGTACTGCTTATCTTGCTGTAGAATAGAAAGTCTGACAGGATTTTAATTATAGTGTGACAGAAGTAGCAGTAATATAATACCATAAAACACTGGGTTAAAAAAAAAAAAAAAGGTTTGCTAAGCCTTGTAAAGCATTCCTTGTATTAAAGGTTAAAGAATACTTATCTAATACAAAGGAGCTAATTGACTCCATTGGTGCATAAGTCAATAGAAAAAGCAATTCTATTCCTTTCTTTTTGTTCATTTTCAGCTTTGTAGGGGTGGAAGGAGGAGGTTACACCACATGGTAAAACTTTGTGATTATGTTCTCCATGAAACCAACTCAAATGACAAATGACTGTATACAAATCCTTCTTTCTTAATGTATCTTAAAACAGCGTTTTCCTTTTCTGGACACTATTCTCCAAATCACAACCTCTCCTATAAGCCCCAGAGGTTACTGACTCAACAGCATGCAAGGAAAACCCCAAAAAGAGGATGAACGTTTGCTGTGGGCAGATGTTTGTTCAACAATATACTGCCTACCAGCGGGGTAGTGAGTTTGCAAAATCCTGAAAAAAATCTATGTGTAGATGACAGGCTTTTGAGCAGTAGGTGTTTCTTTGTTTTGTGCTAATTATCATTTTGCCTTCATGAAGAACAAGAGAACTCTGAGACACCAACTCAAGGAACTTGGTTAGAAACAGCATTAAACTCTTGGACAATGAAGGTGTTTTACTTTTAGGCAAAACTGATAAACACATACGTATACACGAATATTATATATTTCTTAAAGAAAATTCAGGAAAATGAATCCAATATTAGCTGTTATTGTCACTACTCAGTAGCAAGGCCATGATTAACAGATGGACCAAAGGAGAAGAAATGCTGAGCTCTGAAGAAGTGGAGAGTGGTACTTTTGAATATTTTGTATTTCATCATAGAAGGTTGAACTTGATAATATGCTTGCGATATTTTAAATAGGACATGCTGTTAAGAGGCTTATTTTATCCTGGGGCGACTATGGCCTCTGCTGAAAAATAACGCATTGTTCTCATTCCCAAATCTCGAGTCAGTTAAAATTTAACAGAAGAATCACAATTCTGATTTATTTTTGCTTCTTGTCAAAACCTATTCTGCTACCAACTTGGTATCTTAAGTTGATGCTAAGTAAAATTTATAGTTATCTGATCCTGCAGAGAGTAAGAACAAAGTAGAATATGATTTTATGTTTTGTACTCAGGAGAGGAGAGAGACTGCTTAGAGCCAGATTTATGTGACATAAATGTTTTGTTTAGACATCATTAATATACTAGGTTCTCTCATATGCAGAAAGGGATATTAATCCCAAAGGGTTGTAGTGAAATTTATACCAAATGAAAAAATGTATCTGGAAGGTCTTTGTAAATGTTAAATTGTTTAAAAATATTTTAGCTATTATAATTATTTGAACTAATGTATCGAGAGTGTATTCTAGATTATGAAATGCTATATAAATATAAACTACATATAATTATTGAAGTGTTGAATTATTATGTGGAATAAATAGAGAAATTGGCATAAGGATAAGCAGCCTTGGAACTTATCCAATAATATCTGCATATAGAAGTATCAAAATGACCTTATATAATGCTCCTCCTCACAAAAAAAAAACCACCACCACCACAAAAAAATAAAATAAAAAAATAAAAAAAGCAAATAAACTGTTGTGGTATCACTTGTTTCTTATACTCAACAGCATCATTAAGCTTTTTCCCAATCACAAAATAGGCCAATTTTTTTTTATAGGCCTGTTAACAGCTTACCTTACTTGACTTCCGTTCATTGTAAACAGTCCATAGAAGAAAACACACAAGCCAACAATTGCTGCAGGAATTAACATTCCAGTATACCATCCTAGCCAAGCAAAGTAAAGCCCAATCTTCTCACCAAAGTATCGCCTGCATGAGAAAGCAAACCTTAGTTTGAGTTAAGGTAACATAAGTGACATTGTAAATACTGATATTACAACTAGTCAGAATTTCAGATGAAAACTCATGGCTACCAGCTAACTTCTGTTCAGCTCCATCCAAGTATCTAATATGCCTACTTGTTTATGAATCTTGTTAATAATGGTGGTATTGTTTATCTTTAAACATTGTCAATATAGGGCTGATTTTGTCAACTATATTTCTGTGCAAAACTCCTTTTTTAAAAAATTTATTTTGTTGTTGTCATTAAGAATCTAATATACACAGCAAAACATATACCAGTTCAAGTTTGTGCATATACCATTTAATGACGTTGATTACATTGTTTCAGCTGTGTGACCATTCTCACCCTCCTCTTCTGAGTTGTTCCTCCCCCATTAACATAAATTCACTGGCTGCTAAGGCTTCAATCTAATCCTTCCAGTTGCTGTTGTCAGTTTGATCCCATATAGATAGTCCTTAAAAGAGGATAATACTGAAGGCATTTTTTACTGGTTAAGCTAAACTATTATTTGGTTTTAAGATGTAGGGGGTATTTTTGGTTTAATGTTTAAAGATTATCTCAGGGAAATGGTTCCAGGGCTTCATCCAATCTTCATGGATCCAGGAAGTCTGGAATCCATAAGAATTTTATCTTCTGTTCTGCATTTTCCCTCTTTTGATCAAAAGCCTTCTATGGAATCTTTGATCAAAATATTCAGTAATGATAGCCATCCAGTTCTTCTGGTCTTATGGCAAAGGAGGCATTTGTTCATGCAGACAATTAGCCACACATTCCATATCCTCTTCCTATTCCTGACTTTCCTTCTTCCTCTGTTGTTCCAGGCAAATAGAGACCAATGTTGTGCCTTGGATGGCTACTTGCAAGCTTTTAAGACCGTAGGCACTACACAACAAATTAGGAGGTAAAAGAGAAGCACTAAACATGTTATTAGGCCAATTAACTCGGATGTTCCATGAACCCATGACCCTAAACCTCCAAATCAAGGAACCAAATCCCATGAGGTATTTGGTTGTACATAGCAGCCTCAGCAGCTACTCTTTTTTTTTTTTTTGGTCATTGTTGTAGATATATCTATCATACAAATTTTGCCAATCAAACTTTTTGCAGATGTACTACAAATTAGCAGCAGAAGACCTTTTTAAAATGTTAAAAAGCAAAAATGTCACCTTGAAAACCAAGGTGCGCCTGACCCAAGCCATGGTGCTTTCAATGGCCCCATATGCATGCAAAAGCTGGGCAATGAATAAGGAAGACCAAAGAAGAGTTGACGTCTTTGAATTATGGTGTTGGTGAAGAATACCGAATATACCATGGACTGCCAAAAGAACGAACAAATCTATTTTGGAAGAATTACAGCCAGAATGCTCCTTAGAAGCAAGGATGACGAGACTACGTCTCACATACTTTACACATGTTATCAGGAGGGATCAACCCCTGAAGAAGGACATCATGCTTGGTAAAGTAGAGCATCAGCAAGAAAGAGGAAGATCCTCAGTGAGATGGATTGACACAGCGGTTGCAACAATGGACTCAAACATAATAATGATTGTGAGGATGGTGCAAGACTGGGCAGTGTTTCGTTCTGTTGTACATAGGGTCGCTATGAGTTGGAACTGACTTGACAGCACCTAACAACAACACTACTACTTATTGACAGCAATTACAATAATTGGCTGTGCAAACCTACCCTTAATCAACACAATATTTCCATCGTCATTAACCCCCACCCTTTCCTCCTCCCTCCCACCCCTGGTAACCACTAATAAACTTTGTTCTGATACATTTTGCTTTTTTTGTCTTTTTATATTAGTGAGGGCATACAATATTTATCCTTTTGTGATTGACTTATTTCACCCAGCATAATGCTTCAAGTTCCATCCATAACGTAGCATGTATCAAGACTTCATTTCTCCTATTGGCTGAGTAGTGTGCCATTGTATGTATGTACCACATTTTGTTTATCCATTCGTCTGTTGATGGGCATTTAGGTTGTTTCCATCTTTTGCCTATTGTGAATAGTACTGCAGTGAATACTGGTGTACAAGTCTGTTTGAGTCTCTGTTTTCAAGTCTTTTGAGTATATACCTAGGAGTAGAATTGCTGGGTCATATGGTACCTCCATTTTTAGTTTTTTGAGGAACTGCCACACTGTTTTCCACAATGGCTATACTATCTTGCATTTCCAATAGCAATGGGTAAGAGTTCCAATTTCCCCACATACTCGTCAATATTTGTTATTTTATTTTATTTTTTTATCTTAGCCATCATAGTGGGAGTGAAAAGGTATTTCACTGTGGTTTTGATTCGGATCTCTTTGAATGCTACTGACACTGAGCATCTTTTCATGTATTTGGTGGCCATCTGAATGTCCTCTTTGGAGAAATGTCTATTCAAGTCATTTGCCTATTTTATGATTACGTTATTTGTCTTTTTGTTGTTAAGTTGTCAAAGTTTTATATATATCTCGGTTATTTGATTTTTGTCGGCTATATGGTTTCCAAAGATATTCTCCCAGTCAGTAGCTTGTCTTTGTATTTTTTTGACAAAGTCGTTCGATGAACAAAACTTTTTAATTTTTATGAGGTCCCATATATTTGTTTTGTTTTTTGCTGTTTGTGCTCTTGTTATTACATTAGATAATCCACTGTTAAAGCTAGGCCTAACAGCATTGCCCCTGCTTTTTCTTCTAAGAATTTTATGGTTTTATTTTGCGCATTTAGATCCTTAATCCATTTTGAATTTGTTTCTGTATATGGTGTGAGGCACAGATCCTTTTTCCTTTTTCTACATTTGGAAATCCAACTTTCCCAGCACCTTTTATTGAAGAGACTCTTCTTTCCCCACTGAATGGACTTAGCACCACTGTGAAAAATCAGCTAACCATAGATGTGCGGGTTTATTTCTGGACTCTCAAATCTGTTCCATTGGTCTATGTGTCTATTGTTATACCACTACTGGGATGTTTTGATTACTGTAGCTGTATAGTATGTTTTAAAATCAGGAAGTATGAATCCTCCTACTTTGTTATTCTCTTTCAACACTGCTTTAGCTATTTGGGGCTTCTTGCCATTCCATATAAAGTTGAGGATTAGTTTTTCTATTTCTGCAAAGAAGGCTGTTGGGATTTTGATTAGGATTGCATTAAATCTATGAATCACTTTGGGTAGTATTGACATTTTAACAATATTAAGTGTTCTAATCTATGAACATGGAACATCTTTTCATTTAAGTCTTTTTAAATCTCTTTCAGCAGTGTCTTACAGTTTTCACTGTACTGTAAGTCCTTCATTTCCCTAGTTAGATTTATTCCTAGGTATTTTATTCTCTTAGATGCAATTGTAAATGGAATTTTTTCTCTAATTTCCTTTCAGATTTCTCATTGCTGGTGTAGAGAAACTCAACTGATTTTTGTTTGCTGACCTTGTACCTTGCAACTTTGCTAAATTCCTCTATTAGCTCTAGAAGTTTTCTTGTGGACTCTGGGATTTTCTATATATAGGATCATGTCACCCACGAAGAGATAATTTTACTTCTTCTTTTCCAGTCTGGATACCTTTTCTTTTTTTTCTTGTCTTATTGCTCTGGCTAGGACTTCTAACACAATATTGAATAGAAGTGGTGAGAGCAGGCACACTTGTCTTGTTCCCAATTTCAAGGGGAAAGCTATCAGTTTTTCTCCATTAAGTATAATGTTGGCTGTTGGCTTTTCATCTATGCCCTGAATCATACTGAGAAATTTCCCTTCTACTCCAATCTTATTTAGGGTTTTCATCAAGAAATGGTGTTGGATTTTATCACATGCTTTTTCTGCATTGATAGAGATGATCATGTGGTTCTTTTCCTTTGTTCTGTTGATGTGGTGTATTATGTTGATTGATTTTCTAATGTTGAACCATCCCTACATTCCTGGAATAAATCCTACTTGGTCATAATGTATGACTCTTTTAATATGCTGTTGGATTTTGCTCACTAGTATTTTGTTGAGGATGTTTACATCTATATTCATAAGAGATATTGGCCTGTAGTTTTCTTTTCTTGCGGTGTCTTTGTCTGATTTTGGTATCAGGGTTCTGATTGCTTCAGAGAATGAATTAGGGAGTATTCCTTCCTTCTCTATCTTTTGGTTTGTGCAAAACTTCTTAATATGACTCATAAAACTTATTATAATCCAATTCTTGTTTTTTCCCTCTCCGCCTAGTAGCATCCCTTTTCACTCTCCACGTCACAGGACTACAGCTAATGGAGCTAACTAGAAAATTGTCTTTCCTCTGGGTGGATGCTGAGAGCAAGTTAGAGTACAGTCTTCATCTGCAGCCTTGGCCAGGCACCCTCATGCCAGACACAGTCTGCACAATTATGTCACATCTTCCACTACAAAACTCAACTCTGCAGTTCCCAGAACACACAAAACTTTCCCTGGTTAATGCTGTTTCATCAGTTTGGAATCCTTAGTGTCATCCCCTTTCCCTGTCTGACTGCATTTGTCCTTAACTTTATATCACTTATTCAGTAAGTCTTTCTCAACTCCACTAGCACTCTGGGTTAGATGCCTCTCCTCTTGCTCCCATGTTACCCTCACCTGTGCTTCAGTGTCCTAACCTTATAATACTTCATGATAATCATTCATCACTCCTCCATTCCTCTCCTTCCACATGAGATTGTAAGCTGCTCTGAAGGTGAACCTGTGTCTTGTTTCACTAGCACTCACCACTGGAAGTACAGAAGGAAACTAAGAGAATGGATGTTGATAAGCATAATTTATATGGAAATGGCAGACGAATGAGACAGTTCTAATGACTACTCAATTGCCCTTTCTTCACCTAGCCTACTTCCAAGCTAACTGTCATATAGTTTGGAAAGCTCTGGTTACAAATAATTTCCTGATTTCACTACTATTGTTTTGTTTCCATCTTCTATAATGATTACTTAACACTCAGGTTTGTTCCAGCTATAGTTTGAAAGGCTAGTGTTTTGTTTATAGCTCATTTGGGGATACGGCACTGGTCAGTGATTCTAGCCGGAAAGAAAATTCTCTTGTCATTTTTCCTAAACAAGGCTTTTCTTGCTAAACTTGATTTTCTCTACTCCATGCTCTGTATTACGTCAACTAAAATTTGTGCATATTCTACCACATGTAGACCTGGAGTCATCTTTCATTAAGCATCATTTATCTAAATCTTTTATCCTTTCACTAATTTCTCCTAGGAAACACAGACCAACAGTCTATTCATTTCTTATACAATGATAATGTTCTAGTTTGAGACTGAATCTTTTTATATTAGCAGGTGTTGCAATAAAGACATTCATTCCTTTGAACAAGTGTTCCTCTGTGGGGTGAAATAGGGTTTTTAGCGTATATTGCTGACATATAATGGGATATCTTTATAATAATCATGACAGAGGACTGCACAGACAGACCTCCTTATACAGACAGTATTATAGTGAGACTTTTAATTATATATTATTAAAAGTTAAGAGGAGAAACATTATTACTTGACTGGAGTATAATCACCTAAGTCAAAGTAGGTTTCGTATGGGTGTTTTAAGAAGCTAGCTCCAGGCAAACAGAGATGATGAAAATGCCCTTGATCCAGAGCACTGGCCTCCACAATCTTCTAGGATCTCTAACTATTCCCTAGAGGTATCGCAAAGCCATAACAGGACAAGAGGAAATGGGGGCTGCCATTGGTGGTGCTCTCCATCACACTTCAATCATAGACACTCTCTTTTTATTTCTTTCTTTTATATCCTGGAGTACTATGTAACATTTCATTTGATGACAGGATTCTGCTGCTGAAATAACCTCTACTATAAAAAATAAACAAATGTTGAATGCTACTTTTTATTTTTCTTTCTTTTTTTATGCTACTTTTTAAAGAGAATTATTTTATTTAGTGATTGTTTTTTAATTTCAATCACTTTTATGTCTTTTATGAATCATTCTTTAAAAAGTCACACAACTATTTTGCTAAGCAGGTTTTGTTGCTGATGATTTTCAAAATGTGCTATTTCCAGATTTAAGTATTTTTCATGGAAAATTGATCAAAACTAAAATAAGCCTTTGCAACAAAGGTTTGCATTCATTCTTAAAAGGGAAAAAATATAAACACGTCCATAAATAGTTCTTTATTAAAAAGAAACTGAATTGACGGCCCCTCACTTTCAATCCAATACTAAAGAATCACCTTATTCAGCTGTAAAGAATATAGGCTTTGCCTGTGGGTCTCCAACATCTGTGACCAGCATTTATTAAAAATCCAACTTGTGAACATTCTCTTTTCCTTATTACAGATAGGAAGCAACATAATAAGGGAACTTCATCTTCATAATGGTGTGGTCTTAAGAATAATGAAATTAATTCCAAATAATTAAAAAGTCTCAGATTTTAAGACTTAATCTTCTTGCTGATTGTAGAAAATTGGGTCTTGTAAGAAATTCTACATGTGAGGTTGCATAGTTTAATATGTATTTCTGCCTCATCACCATGTCAATTTTGGTAACAAGCAAGTTCCTGAGGTTAGCAAGCATGTTGAAATGGCACCTATACTCTTATATGACCTTCATCTTGGGTGGGCCCTTCACCCTTCTTCCTTTGGCCTCTTGAAGACAAAATGTATAATTTTTACTAGCAATTTTTTTTCTTTTATGTCGGCAGCCAAATAACTGCTAATAGCTAAATAATTGTACTTACTTAAAATATAGGGTACTCAATGAAATTACCTGAAGCAGCACTAAATGTCTGTTTGAAAACTCAACTTTAATTCCTAATAAAGATGATTTTGTGAAGCAGCACCTCTCACTGTGGTACTACATCTCTAAAGTAATAATAAAATAACAACCCTTTCCCATGCATAAATAAGCATCTGAGAATTTCATGCAATTGATTGAATCAGCATCAAAATATCCTGATGTTCTATGTACTCAAGTACTTAAGGTTTAAAATAAAGAGTATGGTGCTGGATATTTACCCTTTGCACCTCCTGACAAGTCTCTACCTTTTCTTCTCTGCTAAGAGGTTGGCTGCTAATCAAGAGGTCAGCAGTTTTAATCCACCAGCCGCTTCCTGGAAACCCTATGGGGCAGTTCTGCTCTGTCCTATAGGGTCACTATGAGTTGGAATAGAATCGAGAGCAACGGGTTTCAGAGTTATATGCCTCAGGAGACTCATCTCTATGGACTTTATCATCTAGGTTCCCTTCTTCTTCTGGCTTCCTGATGAGTTTATCGGCCAATTGGAGACACCGGCAGGGGATCATAGATTGGGAGAAGAGAAATGTGGGGTTATTGACTACCCTAGATTCCTCCCTTGTTGGGCTATGGTTTGGCAGTAGTTGCTTTCTTCCTATGCCCATAGCTTCTGTCAGGCAGCTCCTCTTCTATGGTTATAGCTTCTGACAAGTTCTGCCTAAATGCTCCCTCCCCTTGTCCTGTCAAGCCTAGTGTCATAAAAGCTTCCAGCTGCTGTTACTCCCTGGGTGCTTCATCATCAATTGCTGTCTCTCTTGACTATGTGCACGCTTCTATGTATAGTTTCTTTATTGAATTTTCTTCAAGTACCTTTTCAGTATTCTATCAGTTTCCTACTGGGATACTGAATGACACAGTTATAAGTTATCCTTGGTATATGTATTTCATAAAATTTTAAAATATCAACCTTACATTAACTTATAAAGTGAATGGCCCTTGTTTTTTCATTCTACAACTATTTATAGTTAGCTGGAGACTTGACTAATTCCTAGTTAATATATTCTTCCTGATTTAAAAAAAAAAGAGAGAACAAATTATCCCCCATCAAGTTAAAAGATTATTAACCATGAATGTAACAGTACTCCAAGACTAGTTCAAGTTGAAGGCAATGTCTCATTAGAATATATTCCTGATACAGAGTTGAAACTCCACAAATCTATGTTGAAAGATAAGTACATGAACAGAGACTGTGTTGGTCATTTTCTTCTTTGCTCTCAGATCCATTTTCTGCTTTTTCCCCATTTTGATTTATTTTACCAGGGATACAGATTACCTAGATTCCCTTATAAATTGCTTCTGGTTAAGTCGGGCCAGTAAGTACTAGAAAACTTGTAGGTAGAAGGGAGAAGCTGGGACTTTTTCCACTCTCTTACTCTTCCTCAGGGATGTCCCACCAGTAGCTATGTCACCTCCATGGCTCCCCTCCCTGCCACTTCTCTGCCAGCAGCCGGAGCAATGGTACAGCTCCTGCCCAATGGCCCAGGTATTGAGCTCTGGTAGTGCTACCTCTTCCCATTGTCTCTGCAGCCTTAGAGGTGTTAACAGTTTTCACCTGTTGTTAACCTCTGTCTGCCTCACTACTTCTGCTTAATTTCTCAGCTCTCCCATCACCTGTGTAATCAATTCTCTGCATTAAGTTCCTTATCTGGAAGAAACTATAGTGGTTTTTTTTTTTTCTGATTGCATCCTGAGTGATACTAATGTTTGGTGGGTAAATGAAAGCATTACAAGTCTAAAAAAATGGCAACAAAACACCATAGTTTGTCTTCCACTCTCAATTCATTTGCAGTACCTGATTAAATCCAGGGGCTGATGCTTATACCACATTCCCCAGCGTGCCCAGCGCTCATATAATAGATGTCTGTTATTCTGAGGTCCATGGGTTTTGATGGGCTGTCTACTCTTGTAGGCTCCCTGAAACAGATAAATACAAGATAAATTGTATCCATTCTTTTAGTAAAATTTGAACTAACTCAGAATTGCTTTTTTTTTCCTTTAAGGAACAATTTAAAAACATATTGAAATCTTTAGAAATTGTAAACTTAGGCTCATCACTGGAATGATATAGTAAATGATCTTACATATCTCTCTTTATTAGAAATATTCTGATAGTTCCTTAAAATCCTTTCTTAAATTACCTTTTTTAAACCAATGAGATCCATTTTATTTACCATAAAATAGACTTTAGGTTTCACTGTTTGGAACCTGTGGTCTTTTAATAACATTATCTTCACTTTCACAGAGAGAAATCATTGTAATGTTTAGTTCAGAAATTAAAAGCATTAAACTGCATTAAGCAACATCATGATAAACAAAGAAAAGACTGAAGTTGTCAAGGATTTCATTTCACTAGGATCCACAATCAACACCCATGGAAGCAGCAGTCAAGAAATCAACGATATACTGCATTGGGCAAATCTGCTGCAAAAGACTTCTTTAAAGTATTAACAAGAAAGATGTCACTTTGAGGACTAAAGAGCACCTGTCCCAAGTCATGCTATTTTCAATTGCCTCATATACATGCGAAGCTGGATAATGAATAAGAAAGATCAAAGAATTAATGCATTTGAATTATGGTGTTGGTGAAGAATATTGATTATACCATGGACTGCTAGAAGAATGAAAAAATCTGTCTCGGAAGAAGTACAGACAGAATGCTCCTTAGAAGCAAGGATGGAGAGATGTTGTCACATGTACTTCTGACATGTTATCAGGAAGGATCAGTCCCTGGAGAAGGACATCATGCTTGGTAAAGTAGAGAGTCAGTGAAAAAGAGGAAGACCGTCAAAGAGATGGATAGAACACAGTGGCTGCAACAATAGGCTCAAACATAGCAACAATTGTGAGGATGGTGCGGCACTGGGCAGTGTTTCGTTACGTAGTATACAGGATCACTATGAGTTGGAACTGACTCAATGGCACCTAACAACAATAATCTGCATTACAGAGTGATCCAGTCCCATAACAGATTTCTTTCATTTTATATTTATGTTTATGTGTATTTATTTTCATTTTATAAGGAGGAGATTAGAATAACTGCTCATACAAAAGGTATAAGAGGCCTGAACCAGGAGTGCTACTCATGTTTTAAATTCTAGAATCCTCAAAATTTACTTTAGATAAAATATTCCAAACATTGAAGTAATTTTTCAAATTCTTTATATCATTCCCCAAAAATATGTCATAAAGACTGCAATTTAGGAAATACAAATTGTATATGCCTTATAGAGCAAAGTGTTTCTTATGGCAGAACTGTTCTGCTTTTACAATCATGAAAGAGGGCAATAGATACAGTGACAATATTTTCTAAACAAAAACATGAGACACAGAGTATGATAAACTCACCCACCTCACCCCAATGTACGATTCTACTTTTATGAAAAGTTTGATGAAAATTTAAAACAAGTGGAGCTATACCTCAGCTTCCTCACCTATAAAATAAGGATCATAATAATGATAATGACATCCGATTTAGAAGATTTTTGTGATGGCCCTCTTGGATAATTCCTATAAAGTGCCTGGCACATAGGAAGTATGCAATCAATGTTAGTCATTTTTATGTGTCTGATATACTGTGTTCATTGAAAAGTACAAAATTGTGATCAAAATTGTTCCAAACAACCAGGAACATGAGTTCCTATGAAGAAAGAGGGCACCCTGAATTACAGATAAACCAAAAAACCAAACCCGTTACTGGCAAGTCAATTCCGACTCAAAGCAACCCTATAGGACAGAGTAGAGCTGCCGCACAGGGTTTCCAAGGAGCAGCTGGTGGATGTGAACTGCTGACCTTTAGGTTAACAGTTATAGCTCTTAACTACTGTGCCACCAGGGCAGGTGCCTTAGGTTGAAATGAGAGCCATATATGGATGTCACCTCTGGCCCTCTAAAGAAATAGATAAATTAATTAGGTAAACACGTAAGTACAGTTAAAGTGAATCTCAAAGTTGTCTTCCCTAAGGGTGGCCCAAGGTGTTTTAAGCCTACATATTGGAAGGTAAGGAAGATGGCAGCAAAGATCTAGATTCAAAGCATGCGGACATGCATTTGGGAAAAATTTGTCTGCCTGTGAATTTGGAGAGACCTGTTAAGGCAGAATGTCCTGAGATTGGGTAGCAGAGGCAGGTGAACCAAAATCTCAACTTTCTTTGCTCAATTGCTAATAATCTGTCTAAAATACATGACTTTCCTTCATAGTCTCGGTGCTCAGATAATACGGACTTCTGGGTCTGCAGAAGCCAAGCTTTAGAATACCTAGTTTATCACTGTTCTAACTGCTCAATAACCTCAGCCAAGCACACTGTTCTGGGCTGACAGTGACACGAGGTGGACTGCAAGAAAAACTGACCAAAGTGATGACTCTTGCTCACCACCAGCCTTCATCCCTTTCTGGAGGCTCATGTACACTCTGTGATCCCCAGTAACCCCATAATCGGCCCCCTCCTCCAACCACCTTTTATCTGTCTCCACTATTCATACTGGACAGAATTATCGATTCTATCAACTTCTTGGGCAAACTTTCTCATATATATTCCTTCTCCTTCCTTTTCTTTTTTCCCTTTCATACCAAATTCCCCTGACAATGTTTTCCTTTCTCCTTTAGCCACGGTCTCTTTTGTAAGTAAAAAACAATGGTTAGTAAACAGCCTAGTTATGTAAAGAAAATTACACAGGGAACAGACCAAATCTTCTATTATTACAAAACCTTCCCCAGGCCTCAAGTTGCCACTCTGAACATTTTGCCACTTACCAATGGTGTGACATTTGACAGTGTTTAATTTCTCCGAGCTCCAGTTTCTTTATCTCTAAAATGGGAACAATAATATCTATCCTTCCAGGATTATCATCAGAATTCATGAGAAAATACATGTACGGGGACTGGCACATGAAACACACTAACGTACTGGCTGTTATTATTATTACCATTCCTTTTTAAGTATGTACACTATCATAAATATAAGCATTGGAGTCTGGCTTTGTGGGCTCAAAACCTGCCTTTGATACTTAACCTCTTCTTGTTTCCATTTACCTATCTACAAAATGGAGGTAATATTATTGTCTGTCTCAAAGGGTTGTTGCAAAAATTAAGTGAGATAATCCACATAAAAAATTCTGTTTAGGTCAAATAGGAAGTGTTCTATTTATTTTATTATTATTAGTTATACTAGTCTGTGAACTCCTCCAGTATAGAGATTATGTCCTATGAGTTCCCGAATTTAATTTTATAAATAGAAGAGTGGTAGTTTTTTTTTTTTTTTAAGAGTGATAGTTTTTGAGAGACCAGAAGTGAAGATCTCTAATGACCCCATTTTTATTTGAAATGTAAAGCTACCTTAAAGAAAGAAGTCAAGAATTCAGTATGTATTGGGGGGCGGGGACAGTTGAAATGGATTCAAATGTCACTCATAACTCAACAGAAAGGGCCTACCACAGCTGGTAGAGAGCCAGTAATCTGGCAAAGAAGCAATTAGGTAATGGGCTATAGGTTTTTTGTTGTGTGTTGTGTGTTTTAAATTTTCAAGCATCATAAAGCAATAGACACCAACCTAGCACCTGCCCTGTTTCGGTGTGGTGTGGATCCCGAGATGGATCAGCATGGAGCTCTGTGCCCAGGAGCGTAGAGAGCTGCCAGCCTCTCTTCCCTAACTGGGGTTATTGCAGAGTGTCTAAGCCAGGTCCAAGACTTCCCTCCGAGGCTGGGATTCCTTTCTGATCTGCTGGGGCAACAAGGACAAATGGCAGAACGGTTCAGGGACAAAGGAGCTACTGTGCTGCCTTAGGATTCTAATGGGGTCTCAGAAAAGCTCTGGGCCACACACTGACTAAACCCCTGAGCAAGGGCAGCCAGACTCAAATGAAAAAATGGTATTGAGTACTGAGCACGAGAAACTTTTCTTAATAGAAATGGTACTGTTTTAATGGTATTTCAAAGTTACCTCGTGTGGGGGAAACGCTGCTTCATATGCACCATTGTTTATAAGTTTACAGATACCTGGCAAGAGAAGAAAAGAACAGTTCTCAAGTCAGTTTGAATGAAGATTTTCCTCTGAAGCAACATACAGGTATTTGATACATAATTAATTTAAAATCTTAAAATAACCCAATAACTTCGATAGCCACACTGCCCATGAGTGAGGCTGTGAAAGAGACTGAAGCTAAGAGTCTAGTCGTGTCCTTATGACATTAGTAAATGAAGAGTGGTAAAATGCCAACACATGGTTTCACTCTGCCATATCATGAAATGTGGCACATTTTAATACTTATTTAGGATTAAATCAGTCCTCAAGACAACAAAGTTTGGTCAAAGAAGCATGCGAATTCCACATCTCAAAAAAAAGTCTCAAAAAGATATTAAAACCAAACCAAAAAAACACTAAACTCGTTGCCATCAAGTCAATTCCTTCTCATAAGGATCTTATAGGACAGAGTATAACTGCTCCATAGGGTTTCCAACGAGTGGCTGGTGGATTCGGACTGCCAATCTTCTGGTTAGCAGCCTGAGCCCTTACCACTGTGCCACCAGGGCTCCAGCAAAAAGACATCAGCATTGAGAAATTTATTTTTTCTATTGTACTTTAGATGAAGGTTTACAGAACAAACTAGCTTCTCATTAAACAGTTAGTACACATACTGTTTTATGACATTAGTTAACTCCACGACACGTCAACACTCTCCCTTCTCGACCTTGGGTTCCCCATTACCAGCTTTCCTGTCCCCTCCTGCCTTCCAGTCCTTGCCCCTGGGCTGGTGTGCCCCTTATTATTATTATTTTTTAATACTGAGTCAAAGAAATATAGTGATATGAGACATTTTCTTAAAAGCCCCTCTGTCTCAGTGAGGGTGTAGTGAAATGGATACTCTTCATACAGGTCTAGTGAGAATAAAAATTGGGAAAACCTTTATGGAGAGTAATTTTTGTTGTAATATTATTTATATTAGTGAAGAATTGAAAAGAATTGAACATCCAAAATTGGGAAATCATCTAATATATTATGGTACAATCACTTATATTAGGTATTTTATAAATCGTGATTTGATGAATGCTTGTAAGGTGCAGTGGTTAAGAGCTTGGCTGCTAACCAAAAGGTCAGCAGTTCGAATCCAGCTGCTCCTTGGAAACCCTATTAGACAGTTCTACTCTGTCCTGTAGGGTTGCTATGAGTCACAATCGAATGGACAGCAGCGGGTTTGTTTTTTTTATTTATAATAATATTTTCAAATAGTACTTAAGAGCTTGAGAAAATACTCATAATGCTAATTTAAAAAATAATGAGATAGAAAACTGTAAACACTGTATACTTATAACTCATCAGTATAAATTTTTAACAGTGATAATTGAAATTAGGGGTATAATTTTTATACTTTTTTAATACATTTTATAAATTTTTTCTACTTTTCTGTGTTTATTTTCTACAAAAGGTGTGATAATTTTATAATCATTAAAATGTCATATTTATTTTAAAGTCTACATAAGTACATAATGCTATAATTTAGACACTTTATATAAAAATGAATAATTTTTAATTCCCATTCTGGATTTCTCTATTTTTATTTCTTCTTTCGAATATTTTTGACTAGATATATTTATTTATTTATTTATTTATTTTGGTAAGCCTTAGTGTCTAAAGTAACTATTTTGACTGCTTTGTACTAATGGGAGGAGCCTAGTTGGGCAGTGGTTACCACTTGGCTGCTAACCAAAAGGTCAGCAGTTCAAACCCACCAGCCACTAAGTAAGAGAAAGATGTGGCAATCTGCTTCTGTAAAAATTTACAGCCTTGGGGCAGTTCTACTCCATCCTATAGGGTCACTATGAGTCAGAATTGACTCAACAGCAATGGGTTTCAGGTACTAATGGTATGATTAATCAGAAGAGAACTGAAGTCTGAGGTTCATCTTGAAAAAAATACCTGACATGAAACATAGTTCATTTAATTTATGAGACATTCAATTTTGGTATATATTTCTATTGGCTGCCAACTTTTTATTTTCAAGAATTTTAGAACATAACTAACATTTGATCTCTTTAGTCTCCTTGTATTTTTCAACCTTACAATTAGAAGTCCAGCATATTTGTCACTCGTTATTTTTGCTCTGCTGTATGTAAACTTTCCAATTTTATTTAATTTTTCTAGGTGAAACTATCTCAATTTCCTTTTGTATTATACTTGTAGTAGCTCACTGCTAAACATCCAAACACAAAAATTTACACATTTAAATTTAGCTGTGAGTTCACCTTCTGCAGATAACCTCTAAAAGTTTCATATATAAATATATTGTTTATTTTTTTCTGTTTTGAATTACAATAGACTTATAGTTTTGTGAACTTCCTTTTTTCACTTAATAATGCATTGTAGATATCTGTTGAAGTCAGTAAGGAAAGAATTAATTACTAATTTTCAACCTCCATAAAAAAGGATCTGTGTTCTACACTTTGTATAATAGACAGCATATAAGAGATGCTTGATACATTTGTGATAACAAATGAGTGAAAAAATGTCACATACTTTTTAAGGGATACATTATATGGATATAGCTTAACTTAATTATTAGTCCCCAAAGGTGGATTTAAGATGTTTCTATTTTTTCTTTTTTTTTTTCTATTACAAACAAAGCAACAAAGGTCACATTTCTACATATATTATTATTCAAAAATCTGATTATTTACTTAGGAAAAATATCCAGAAGTAAAATTTCTGTGTCAAAATGTTTGCACATTTTACATTTTGATACATATGGTCAAATCATTTTTGTTTGGCTTGGTTTGGTATTATTAAAATGCTTCAAAATAGAATATTTAGAGTTTGCCTTCAATGTCTTATATTCTCATATTGAATGCATGAAGGCAAAGCTTCAATTTTTAAAAATAATAATTCTGGGTATAACTATCAGCACATTCTATTTTCTCTAAGGCATTAATTAATGTTCTTACCCACTTTTGATATGCCATTTTCATATTTGGTGCGCTGCAGCATATGATAGACTATTCTGCTTCGAGTAGCATTGCTGAAGAAGGTGTCCTTATTGTTTATTATGAAGCTGTTAAGATGAGGGAATTGGTTTTAGTGTCCAAAGCAGAACACAGAATTCACAACAGTTACAAGCTCCTGAGTATAGCATCCGTTTTCGCCATTAAAATGAATGCATGCATATAGTAAATTAGAGTAGAAACCACCCTCTTCAAAAAAAAAATCATTTGACAGAGGGAAAAAAAACTCATAAAAAATACAGAACATTATCAAATATTCATTTTAATATCTTCTTTCATCTTATAAGAAGGTCTAGACGTACTCATATTTCATGTTTAGCATGGAACAAGGGGAGAACAGACTACATATTGGTTTCCATAAATTTTGTACTACCTTAAGCAATGTAGTTCCAAATAGAACACATTAAAAATTGAAGTCATCTCTCCGACTCACCTTTCCAATCTGGCTTATTTTGCTTTCAGAGCTTAGAATGAGGACTAGTCCTCCCTCCCCTTCATGCCCTATATTGCCCCACCCTAAGAAGAGTAATAAAGAGGGACGATGTGAAATTTTTTAATGTGAGATTAGATGATGTGAAGATCAGAAGGGTATACCAAGAGGAAATGAATCTGTTTGGGCATATATCAACAGCTTCAAAAAATGAGTGCTCTAGACCTCACTCAAAGTCTGACAGTTCCTGATTCCAGTTGCTTTATCTGTGGTTAATGATAAACCACCATTTTCTCAGGCACTTAGCACTGAAGTATTAGGTCGTTTATCATCCTTGCTTCTTCTTCACTCTCCATATTCAAACAGTTGCCAAACTGAATTAGTTTTCTAACTGAACTGCCTCTCTCCAGCTTTGGTGCTACCCTTGTTGTGGGTCTATTTGTCTTTTGTCTAGACATGAGAAGAGCGTTCGACCTGGCCATCCAATTTCCAACCTGGTTTTCAAAACACAGCTGGAATCCTCAGAACATTCCTCTATTTGAAACCTGTCAGCAGTTTTCATTACTTGCATAATTGAATTTCTTATTTTCCTTCCAAATCCTCTACACTTACATTCCACCATACCCCTCAGCCTAATTCCCATAGATCTGGCTGCTTGTGTTTAGCAATTAATCAAATTGCAAAATCTATCATCACTTTAAAATCTCATTCTTTTCCTCCTCATTTTGCTCTGTTTCTTATCTCTGTTTCCCCACCTCTCTCTCTCTCCATATTTTTACCCGCTGAAAAGTGCTACCTTCTTCAAAAAGGCTTCCCAGATCCTCTTCTCTGGATGTGGCTTCTCCCTCTTTTAAAACAAATGTGTATTTTATTTGTATCTTTCCTATACGTTGATTTTACTCTGTGCTGCTCTATGCTAATCTATATACCTGTACATTGTATTAGATTGTAGGTTCCTCCAATATTCTGATATTATGCTTTTTATCTTTGTATTCAGATGCACCAAACTCACTGTCCTGTTAACTACAGGTGTCAGAAGGAATGTCCACCTGCTTTGTTCATCATCACATTGATTTTGCACTCCTTGAACAAATATTTACTTAGCAGATACATTTCTTTTGTGAAGTTACAGTATGGTGGGAAGAAAGAGATGATACATAAGTAAACAAGTAAGTAATATACTTTCAGATAACTGCTATTAAGAAAAATGAAACAGAATAACATACAGAATGATTAGGACAAAAAGACTATAGACAGCGATTTTCAGGGAAGATATCTATGAGGTGGTAATGTCTGAATGGGAGCTGAATGATAAGAAGGACAATTCCCTGCAAAGATCTAGGAAAAGAGCATGTTAAGCAAAGAGAAGAATAAGAGTGAAGGCTCTGAAGGGGGACTACGCTTGAGATTTTGAGGCACAGATCTGAGGCTGGAGTAAGTAAATGGTGAGGAAAATGGTAGAAGATGAGGTAACAATAATGGGCAAGGACCACAGCATATATGGTCACATAGTAGATGATAAGAAATTTGAAATGTAAGTACAAATGGGAGGCCATTGAAGGTTTTTAAGCAAAGCCATTGTATGATCTGACTGATATTGTTTAAAGATCACTCTGGTTTCTTGGGTTCAGAAAGAAAGGGCAGAATGTTTTTTATCTGGTGCTCCATAGAGACTTAACGATCTGAAAAAGTTGCAGTACAAAGTTGAAGAAGATTCCATTCAACTGTGGCCTCTCTCTAAACCTGGCAGTCATTTGGATCTACACTGCTTCCCTCCCTTCCTATAGCTGGAATTACAAAGAATGCTTCTAGATCCACCTCTAAGAGTAGGTTACGAGTAAACAAAATATTTGGGAGGGCAGACTTTCCCATTAATTGTAACATGTTTGGTGGTCTAGAATTCTGTTCCATCCTGCCTTGAAACACCAGGCTTCCCATAATATAAGCCTATATTCACAGAACATAGGCCAACCAGAGTGGCATACAGCCAAGTCAATATTACAACTATAGCTCTGTAGTACACTGTGCATTTCTTTATATTTACGTTTACTCTATTTATTTGATTTTTTATTTACATTTTTGTCAGATCCATTAGACTGAGAGTACCCTTGAAGGCAAGGACTGTGTCATAATACCCTTTATATCTCCAGCTTGTGCCACAGTACCTGATTCACACAGAAACTCAGTAAATAGTAGATGAATGAATAAGTGAATAAATGGATAGAAAATTATACAACAAATCCCTCCAGAAACTCCAATTTATCTTTTGAATCAATTACATAAGATTAAACTAAAATGAGCAGTTTAATTAACAGATAAATATTAAGTATGGTTTAAGTATAAGAATTTATTAATTAGAACAACCTATTCTTCAAACATGTTAGTTAACAGAAATTATTATTATTACTATTGTCATTATTATTATTTTAATTAGGTGACTTACTAAACCAGAGTAATTAACTTGGAAGAGTTGGGAACTAGACTATCAATCCATGGGTTTGCAATTTATTATTTGTGTCTTGAATGTCTCTAAATCTTACAGCTGATAAAGAATTAATACTGTTCACTGAACGTTCTTCACGTTAAGTGTAAATTATAATATAATGATACATTTTCTTATTTATTTGTTAAAGAATGGAAACATCACAGATATTTTTATTCTATCAACAAACTCTAGGTAATGAAAGGTAGAACGGCAGATGGTGGGAGAAAAGATGTAACTCACTGGTGAATCCGTGCACGGCTGAAGGGGCCAGTGTAGCATTCTAATTCCTCCAGGTCTGGAAAAGCTGACTTGTCGAGAGCCATTGGGTTTTGGGGCATCCACTTCATGATTTTTTTCAAATTTTTTTTCATCCTGGAACACAATCACATTTCAGAATTAGATAATTTTACATTCCAGAGTCATGCCTACCTTTGACTACAGTTACTTAAAGAAAATAGTTTAAAAAAAGACACACACACACGTGTACATTCCTTCTGTCAGCACACAAAATGAATAACAAACCAAATCCTGTACTTGCTTAAACTCTTTCAGAGCAACTATGCTACGCTTGTGAGAAAAACCTTGTGGAAAATATCAAAGAATCATCACTCATAAGGATGGTGATAGGAGAAAAAGGATAAACAATATAAAAGCAGCATGATAAATTTATTAAACCAGTGTATCTGTGTGTGTGTTTGTATGTAGGTTGTTGTTGTTGGGTGCTGTCGAGTAAGTTCCAACTCATAGTGACCCCACGTACAACAGAACCAAACACTGACTGGTCCTTAGCCCTTCTCACAATCCTTGCTATGCTTGAGCCCATCATTGCAGCCACTATGTCAATGTGACTGTACTTCTTCCAAGACAGATTTGTTTGTTCTTCTGGCAGTCCATGGTATATTCAGTATTCTTTGCCATCACCATAATTCATAGGTGTCAATTTTCTTTGGTCTTCCTTATACATTGTCCAGCTTTCGTATGCATATGAGGCGATTGAAAATACCATGGATTGGGGCAAGCACATCTTAGTCCTCAAAGTGACATCTTTGCTTTTTAACACTTTAAAGAGGTCTTTTGCAGCAGATTGTCGTTGTTGTTAGTCCATTCCAACCAGATACCCTACGTTAAACAGAACGAAACAGGCCCAGTCCTGCAGCATCCTCATAATCGTTATGCTTGAGCCCACTGTTGCAGCCACTGTGTCAATCCATCTCCTCGAGGGTCTTCCACTTTTTTGCTGACCCTCTACTTTACCAAACATGATGTCCTTCTCAAAGGACTGGTCCCTCCTGATAATAAGTTCAAAGTATGTGAGAAGGACTCTCGCCATCCCTACTTCTTAAGGAGCATTCTGGCTGTATTTCTTCCAAGATAGATTTGTTCGTTCATCTGGCAGTCCATGGTATATTCAATGTTCTTTGTCAACACCGTAAATCAAAGGCATCAATTCTTCCTCGCTCTTCCTTACTCATTGTCCAGTTTTTGCATTCATATGAGGCGACTGAAAATACCATGGCTTGGGTCAGGTGCACCTTAGTCTTCAAGGTGACATCTTTGCTTTTTAACACTTTAAAGAAATTTTTTTGCAGCAGATTTGCCCAACTCAATGCATAGTGTACTATATAACTGTCCAATTGAAAATGGCCAATACCAGTCCATTTCAGCTTACTTATAACTAAGATATCAGTCTGTATGTTTTCCATTTCATTTTTGATGACTTCCAATTTTCCTAGATTCATACTATGTACATTTCATATTCAGATTACTACTGGATGTTTGCAGCTGTTTCTTCTCATTTTGAGTCATGCCACATCAGCAAATGAAGGCCCCAAAAGCTTGACTCCATTCATGTCATTAAGGGCGACTTCACTTTGAGGAGGCAGCTCTTCCCTAGTTGTATTTTAAAAATCAGTTTTGTTTTGTTTGTTTTTTTTTTAAATCAAGAGCAATGTGGCCCCACAGAAGTGGAGACCAAAAAGAACATTGCTAGTGGGAATGCAAAATGGTACAGCTGCTGTATAAAACATTTTTTGCAGTTCCTTAAAAAGCTCAAAATAGAGCTTCCATATGACCCAGCAATCCCACTCTTAGGTATATACTCAAGAGACTTGAAAGCAGCAATGCTAACAGACACATGTACAGCAATGTTCATTGCAGTACTACTGACAATAGCCAAAAGTTGGAAACAACCCAAACAGACTGTGGCGTATGCATACAATGGAATATTACTCTCTCATAAACAAAGTCCTGTTACATGCCACAACTTCGATGAACCTTATAAATATTATGTTGCGTGAAATAAGTCAATCACAAAAGGACGAATATTGTATGATGTCACTAATATGAAACACTTAGAATAGGCAAGTGTATAAAGATCAGAGTTTAACAGTGCTTACCAGAGGTGGGAAGATAGGGGAAAGAGGGGAATTTTTATTACCTAGCATTGAGTTTCTGTTTATTGGGATGGAAAATATGACAATGGATGCTGGTGACAGTTGCATAACATGGGGTTCCTGGTGGCGCAGTGGTTAAAAGCTCAGGCTGCTAACCAAAAAGTCAGCAGTTCAAATCAATCAACAGCTCCCAGAAACCCTGGGGGGCAGTTCTACTCTGTACTATAGGGTCGCTATGAGTCAGAATCGACTTGATGGCAATGGTTTTTCTGTTTTTGTTTTTTTAGCATTGAGTTTCTGTTTATGGGGATGGAAAATATGGCAATGGATGCTGGTGACAGTTGCATAACATGATTTGTAATTGAACTGTACAAGTGAAAAATGTGGAATGGCAAATGTTGTATTATCTGTACTTTTTACAACATATAAAAACAGCAATGGCCACTACACACAATCAAAACTCCTAGAATTTGGGGAAGCCATAATTCAATTCAGTTTAATTAAATTCCATTTGACTCAAACCATCTGAAGCTTATTTCAACTTGTTTTAGAACAAGCACCACTAATCTAGTTCCATGCCTTATCTAGGTTAAATTGTTTGCTGGGTATTGTGCTTATCCAAACCAAATTTTATCTGCAATTGAGAACCCATAAATTCAGTTATATTTAAATATCTGGACATAGCACAGTCACTCTAATCTCAAATCAGGTACACATTTTCCAGCTACTTATTTTGGCTTTTTTTTTTTTTTTGATGGACTGCTAATGATAAAATATCCTAAAGTTAAATAATATCTGAGTCTAATATAAGTAGAAGATGGCACAGGACTAGGCAATGTTTCCTTCTGTTATACATAAGGTTGCCATGAGTCTGAGCCAACTTGATGGCAACTAACAAACACCGTAAGTAAAAGGACATCTAAAACCTTGTTACTTAAAGTGGTATTTGGACCAGCTGCATCAGCTTCACATGAGAGCTTGAGTCAAATGCATTAGCTCAAGCCCACACCCCAGATTTATTGAATCAGAATCTTCATTTTAACAAGATTCCCATGCATTTTGTGTGCACACTTAAATTTGAGAACCATTGTTCTAAAAGCAACTTATCATCATGAAAGTGTGAAGATCTATAAGTCTGAAATTCAAAGTCAAAGGACCTACATATAGAATAATAATTTCATGTTTCATATGTTAAGTATCTTGAATTACCAGCAAATGGTTGATTGGATAAATAAAAAAGATTAATTCTTAATGCTTATGTAAAAAAATAAACAAAACAAAGCCAAACCCATCAATTACTTTTTCAAACTAGTAAGTTTACTTTTGATCTTATCAAGCATGTTGTTGAAGCCACATCAGTTCAATGGTTTTACACAATTGTCACACAGAGAATCGCTTATGCTCCCATCCTTAAAAGAGAACAACTTAACTATTGTGTTCTCACAAGGAACAGCAAGCATAACAGTGTTGAGTACTTCTTTGATTTATATACAGAGTTTATGAATCCTGGGAAAGTTTTGGAGCCTTGGTGGCACAGTGGTTAAGAGCTAGGCTTCTAACCTAAAGGTCAGCAGTTTGAATCCACCAACCACTCCTTGAAAACCCTATAGGGCAGCTCTACTCTGTCCTATAGGGTCGGCATGAATCAGAATCCACTCAACGGCAACGGGTTTTTTTTATTTTGTTTTGGGAAGGTTTTATATCCCTGTCACTTCTGTATTAACAGAAGCTTTGCAACAATGTCAAGAAACAAAGAAGAGAAAATAAAAAGAAGTTAATCTTCATATATTTGGGATCATTTCAAAAATATTTCTTTTTTTAATGCACCTGTCTTTATTTTTTAAATTTTTTTCTTTCTTTTCTATTTCTTCTTCGGAAGAAAGGTGGGGTCCTTTTTGTTTTGAGGAAATTTAAAAAATCATATTCATACCCTTAAACAGGGCTCTGAATTCTGTTCAAATAGGAACACAGTGATTAAAAGAGATCCACTTCCCTAAAAAAGTTGGGTGAGGGTCAGCGATCTCCATAATATTTCACAACTTACAGGGGACAAAAAGCTCTCTGTGCTTGCAGAAATCTAAAACAAACAAAACCAAACAGAAGCCTAGGATAAACTCTGAACACTTCATCCAAATGAACTCATTTGGATATTCCAGGTTAGTGACTAAAACATTTATTTAGAGCTAGCAACAATGTTTGTAGCAATTCTGGAAATATTGAGAGTGAGCTAAGGATATATAATATTGACTATGTGAACAACAACTCAAAAAAAGAAAATATGCCAATAATTAAAAAAATAAATAACAGATGTGTGTTTAATTTGCAGAATTCAGAGACTACTTAACTACCTAGAATGTTATCTCACATCTGACCCTCCTGAAGAGTCATTATTACTATTATTTTTTTCTTGGTGCTTTAAGTGAAACTTTACAGTTCAAGTTCGTTTCTCATACAAAAATTTACACATACATTATTATGTAACCTAGTTGCTCTCCCTATAATGTGACAGCACACTCCTCCTTTCCACCTCGGATTTCCCGAGTCCACTCAGCTAGCTTCAGTTCCTTTTTGCCTTCTCATCTCGCCTCTGGGCAGGAGCTGCCCATTTAGTCTCATGTATCTACTTGAGCTAAGAAGCATTCTCTTCACAAGTATCATTTTATGTCTTATACTCCAGTCTAATCTTTCCCTGAAGAGTTGGCTTCAGGAATGGTTTCAGTTCTGGGTCAACAGAGAGTCTGGGGGCGATGTCTTCCGGGGTCCCTCCAGTCTCAGTCAGACCATTAAGTCTGGTCTTTTTACTAGAATTTGAGATCTGCAGCCCACTTTTCACCTGCTCTGTCAGGGACTGTCTGCTGTGCTCCCTGTCAGGGCGGTCATTGGTGGTAGCCAGGCACCATCTAGTTCTGGTTTCAGGCTGATGGAGTCTCTAGTTTATGTGGCCGTTTTGTCTCTTGGGCTAATATTATCCTTGTGTCT